AATTTTTTATTCGAAGTTAAGATTTTTGAGGGACAAAATGTTTGATATATGTTTACGCTGACGCAGAACACTACAAGTAGCGCCCCCTAGAACTGATTGCATTTTCGTAATTGCCACCTCTAAAAACATAGGCATTGCAAAATAATCTGTTCAAAGATGCTCAAGATATTCTGATTCGGCAAGCTGCCATTAAGCTCTGTTCCAATATTAATGAATAACCCTAATATTTGAAAAACTATATTAGTGATTTTTTTGTATAAAGTTTGGAACAAGCATGTAAATAAGTCCTCTTCAAAACGCTCTTGCGCAAAATTTCATAAAAAAATATGGAACAATAGATATTTATTTAGTCGTGGTTCAAATTTAGGAAAGCAATAGTGAAGTGATATTGAATTTTTTGGAGGATTATTTATTCAACGATTAGCTATTAGGCTTATTCTAAATTAAAAAAAAACTTAACAATGGCTTACATTTTTTATATTATGGGAGACGTGTTTTTTGTTAAGATTGCAAAATATCTAGTGGCTCTGAAATTTTATGGCTTTTAATGAGATTGTTTCGCAGTACCTTTAACACTGGTTAACAGATTTGTATACCAACTTCGCGGATTTTAGTTCGTAATTAGTTAGCGTTACATCAATTTACATCAAATATTTCAAGAAATATTTAAATAAATGTGATACACTTATATTTTTTAAGTTCCTGCCTGTATCTACTATAACGTATGTTTTTATGACATTTTATACAGAGTTATGGACATGATATAGTATATAATGGACTGTTAGAATTGTATTGCAAATATTGTAAATAGACAAATAACTGCTAGACGAAGAAAATGAGCCCTGCAATTTTAAAATGAGGTTTGTCTTAGAAATTAGTAAATTGTGCTGCCTGTAAATGTTTAATGAGTAATTTAACAAATTAAATTTTTAAACATTTACGGTGTAGATATATCTACAAAAAGTGCCATTTTCCTTTTATTATTTTCTATAAGTCCAACATTTATTCGTTAATTTCGTTAAACTTAATATAAATAATGTCAAACCCAATTTTGTTAAGTCTAATTTTAGAATTCACTGGTATAAAATTTTTACGCAACCCTGCTTGAGGAAATAAAGAATTTACATGTTATTTGACACAAAAAATAAAAAACGTCGGATAAGGAAATGTATCATGAGCAGATTTCCATGCGTTATGCTTGAGCTCCAACGCAAAGGAAATGATATTTAAATAAATACTAATCTTCTGGACCGGAACATGGTTGAACTTGAGAAACTCTTAGCTATACATTTGAATTACTTTTTTGTCAGGCATGTCAACAAATTTTACAGGGTGAAAATACGAATAGCATTAGAATAGTTTTATCCCCAATAGTGAAGGAGAATACTTTTGTGATACAGGGGTATTTGCCACCAAAGAAATGAAATAATATGGTAAAAAACTTGATCTGTATTGTTTTATATGAAATCATTATTTAACTGGAAATTAAAAAAATTGGCGGGCAGTTGTTACGTGCTAAACTATGCCTCAATTGCGCTGTCTATTAATAGAAGGCTCAACTAAAATCTTATAGCACTGTCATACTTTTATTAAGTAACGGAAAGATAGAGAATTGTTACTTAAATAACAAATTTTCTGTAATAACAGCGTCCATAGTCTAATACGTCACAAGTTGGTAACAATGGCGTACGATTTGAATTAAAATTTTTAAAATCAAATAAAAATTTATGAAAGGAGTTCTTACATTAGTGAAATTGCTTGTATGGTTCGCATTAACAGTGATAAAACGCTACACATTTTTTATGCAAACACCCCATTTCTTCTAACATAGTCTTTCACATGCATTGCAATAACTTTATTCCACTTGAAAAAAATTGATCAACCGTAGTCAAATCTGGACTATACAGGTAACGAGATACAAGTGCGTAGAATGAGTTGGATTTTAAGTATTAAATGAAATTAATTATACAATTATTTGTATTAGTTGTATTTAACCATTAAATAATAATAATTGTACTACAGAGCCTTCATAAACGATTAGAAGCCACCAGTTACTTTGTTTGGAACAGTAATTTTATTTCCTTCATGTTGGCAATTAAGTTTAGGTAAAATTAAACATTCTGTTTCACCGGCTGTGATTGGTGAATTTTTCACGAAATTCTATTTAACCAATCAGCGATCTAATTATCTCGAGTGTAGGCGTAATGGTTTGTTACTGTTCATTGTAAACGAATCATTAATATTAGTGACGCCAAGATTTAGAGTTTTTTTCGTTATCAGTACAAATCTTGCAATCTTGGATTGCCCAAGTTCGACGATCACGTGGCTTGTAAACATTTATGAAGGCTCTTTACTTTTTTATATTCCTCAAGGTTATTACTGTCATTCATAGTTTAAACTTCCTCAGTGGTATTATTTTAAGGGAAACGCCACTAAAAATTTTCAAAAAAATGTAAAATTTTCTTTTCTACATATGGTTTATAATAAAGTCGTTTTCTAGCAGTAAATTAAAAAATAGTGTCTATCATACAAACATAATATTAATTCAGTTTATTAAAAATCTCTGTCTACATGTGTAGTTGCGCTTTTATTACACAAAACTGTGTACAAAAAAATCTTTTAAATTTTGCTGTATTGTACCACTTGGAAAGAATAACTAAACACAAAAAAAATTGTTTTGTAGTTTTTCATAAATAGTATATTGCACTTTTATTTCAAGATGTAAAACCGATGTATTTTTCGTTACACCCGATATAATAAAATGTGGGCCTCAAAAGACATAAAAGAACTTCCAGCCTCTTACACAGTAAAGATATAAACCGGATAAAATAAAATATCTGGACCGTGTGTCATTTCCTTTGTGGTGGAAAGAGTACGTATTACTTTAATTCCCCACGTATTTTTAAATTCCCTTTGAAGGTACGTTTATTTTAAACGAATGGAACATCTTGTTTGAACAAAATCTACCGAAGGTAATACATATTATTGAACGTCAAGACATTTATATTCATTCCCTAGTTCTATTTGTTCTAATAATTTCTCACTGTTGGTGATAGGTACATTTCCTTCGTAATGATTTATATGTTCAGTTTATAGCTTTCTGTTACTTTGATTATTATTGAGATATATGTTTGTTTTTGAACACGTTTTTCGTGGAATAAAATTGATAATAACTGTACTAAAATTCATTTTAAAACTCACTCTGTTAATATGTCATGACATATGATATAATCTCGGTTATAACTAGAGATCAGAAATGTTAGGGCGGCTGCAATGTGGTACAGGGTTGGCTGTAGGCCTGGCTCTCTTTTATTCATACAAAAAGTGGCACAACCGCTGTTGCCTTATTACAACTGCACTCTTTAGATTATAAGAATATAAGTATTTGCATAGGTAATAGTATTAAACAAAAAGGGCCAGTGTTTACTTTTCTACACTAAACGCTTCACATGAAACTTACTAGTATATATAGATATAATACGTAATAATAAGTACCAGCAAAAGGTAACAAAATAATAATTTCTTCCCTTTATCCGCGTCATTATACAATAACATGTAGTACATATCTGCCTCTGATCTGAAGCTTCGCATCGATCAATTTATTCGATACGTATCTAGCGGCACCCTGCTCTGTTGGCATGGTCTTAATATTTGTTTCTCATCACAATTATTTGTAGAGAAATTAGGCAGTAAATAGAGGAAATAAATAAAGTAATACAGGAATTCGATACCATATTTTCAGGAGATCTTGGATGATCTAAAATCTAAAAACACTGGTTAGTAAGATTTATTCAAATATTTCTGTTGTTGGTTTACAGATAGTATATCAATCAGAAACGGAGACACTGGGAGATATTTGTACTAAAAATCTCAGAGATTTGACACCACTTCAGTTTTGGAAACTGGATAAGCGCATTTAATTCATGTCGATGTCTTTAAGAAATTTCAATTCCGTTCTACTTTCTTCCAAAAATTATTAAACTGTTTTGGAGTTACTAATACCTTTTTTATTTTAAAATTAACTTATCATTAGTTGTTGAAGACATTGAGAATGATTTAAGAACTACTTATTTCATAAAAAGGTATAAGAATTTTTTATTACAAAAACAGTATAATAAAACATAAAAAAGCAATGATATTCTTAGAAACTACACTTCTACTATCTTTCAGACAATGTCTCTATATCCTAATATTGTGTTAAAAATTATACTACAAAAAATTCTTATTTGTGAAAGGAATTGTCTGATACTCAAGTTAATTCTAAATTCAAAAAATAATAATAATAACTCAAAAATTTCTCAATTTTAAATTTATTACTTCCACTATCTCGATAGTTGAGAGATTTGTATACCTGTTGTAGTTTTTGTTTATTTTTAGTTAAGTTAGTAGCGTATGTTCCATCAACTTTCGTCAGACATCTTCAAAGATGTTTGAATAAATGTGCCAGTAATTTTTTCTCTTCGGACATTTCTAGATTTTTACGTTAACAAAAACTTTATAAATAAAAAAAAATATTCTGCAATTGTTGATATTTGAGATATGAAGATTTTAATCCTGTTGATTAAGCCTATTTTCCCAAAAATTGATTCCCAAACGTAATTGGTACAGCAAGTACTATAATAAAAAAAAATCGGATCATGAGTGATAAAAATATTAAATTAATAAAAGAATAACATTTAAATTTCTCTTGTGGACTACAATATTTTGATTCCATTTTAGATCAAATTTTCTAATGTTAAAATAAAAGTTTTCAACAAAATATGTGATAAAATAGAATTTACATTACAAAGTGCCGGTAATGTGTTTATACTATAATTTATATTTTTATTTTGCAACTTCAGAAAATGTCCTACAGCCATGCGATGGAAGATTTCAGTATATTTTATGGGCTATAGGACTCTACTTCGATTCCAAGAATTCAGTTATACACCTACAAATATAACGACTATTTTCTTTTGTAAAAAGCACAGTGAAAGCTTCAATTTCCTATATTTACTTACCTGAAATACCAACGTTTCATCGAAGTAAGGATTGCAAGTTTTCTTCTTTTGTTTGGATTGCAAGTAACGTCGTTCGTCGGGCATTAAATGTAATCTGAAAATTTATAAAAACATTCTTAATAACACAATAAAAGATAATGAAAAAGTCAATGTATATAATAGTTTTTTTATACAGGGTGTACCTTTAAGTGGGTGTCAGTTTTTTGCACGTTAATTCTTGTGCACCGGGGTACCCGAAATTTGCGTATTAGTGCACTATCAACGTTGCCAATTATTTTTTAATCAACTTACATTGTGGGAAGTGGCAATGAAAAATAATTTGGCTAAACAGATTGATTTTGTATAACTTAGCGACGTGTCATTTTAAAGTCACCAGGAGCAAAGAAGACGATATGAGACAGATTACGCCGACTTATAAGTACCGAAGAAAATGTTTGTCAGGTTGGTACAACATTGCAGCACGCCCAACCACGAAAATTACAGTATTCATGTATTTGTATATTTGTGGATGTGAACAATGTAACAAAAAAATATTTGTTGGCTACCAACAGTGCATGTGGTTGGTGGAGGGAGATAGTGCGGGTCAACGGTGACGAAATGAAGGAATTCGTTGGGTGCCTAACTTTTGGAGACGATACATCTAATTTGCTATTAAGTTTCAAAGGATCTCCGCGCCTTGAGGTCCACCTAGTTAAAGATGGCAAATTACAACATTTATTTTAAGAGATTATGCGAGCTTTGACCGCCAATACGCTAATGTTGGACGGGAGCAAACTCAGAGAATAAGAAATTAGGAACAAGACATTTTAAAGTACGTGGAAGAGGATACTGGTAAAAGTACCCGAAGATTAGTCACACAATTTCTAGTGTTATGATATAAAAATCAGGTGAGTACACAGATAATTTATTTTTGTGTATTTCATTTATTATTGACTACCACTTGAGTTTTTTGCTAGGTTACTTGTTAAGTACTGTTTCATAATTTATCTTTATTTGAAAAAATTAAATTTTCAACAAAAGTAGCGCGTCAAAGAGAACGTAGCTTGTAAACATTTATGAAGGATCAAATTGTATATTAATATGGAAATTATACGGGTTGATTAACCTAACTTAATGATTCTAGCGTTTGTCGCATCTACCAGTTTATTATGTAATACATTAAACTGACATTACTAAGTTCCGACAAACATCGAAGTTTGTTAATTTAAAACTGAACCAGCCCGTTCATTGTCGATTAAAATTTGAATTATTACCCGTATTATTATCCGTAGTACTTCTCTACTAATTCGTCGAAAATATATTTCATCTATATTATCAGTATTTAAAAAATGATTTTGTTATTAAATTGGATCTTTCTATCACACTAAAAAGAAAAAGAAATTTTACATAAATAACTTTTTGTGTTAAAAGGTTCAGTTTTGTGTAAGCCATAACCTAAAAAGTATGACATATCCTATAGCTCACTGTTGAGAAATAATAAGTTCGAAAACGGTCTATGTCTGGTTTCTGCTAACTAATGATGTTAGCTGTTTAGTAGATATTGCAAGTGTAGTTCAACGCAAGACCTGACTGTAGTTCGCAGAGTAGTTGTTTCCCACAATATCATTAGTTAAAAAGGACTTAGTTTTGTATAAACGCAAATTTCTCACATTGAAGATACATTAATTTTTACCAACTCTGGATAACATTACAATACATGATGGTTTGTAAAGGTTTTAAAAATTCTATGTTTTTATTCTCAAAGCTCTAATCAAAATAACTAGACAATTTTTTTGTTTGTTTTTCAATCATCCATAGAGACATAAGATACTCATGTTTTCATTCTCATAGCTCTAATCAAAATAACTAGAGTTAAGTGTGACGATTTTTTTGTTTGTTTTATTAATCATCCATAGAGACATAAATAGGTACAATATTTATCCTGTTACTTATGTAGTCGTTGAGAATATTCAACCAACAATAATTACACAGCCACACAAAAAAAATCCAAATCCGATGCGGTGAACATGATCCTGTAGTCAAAATTCATGACTTAAATTTCGGAAAAAACTGAAATTTTTGGGGAAAACGCCCAAATATGGGTCAAAACTGATTTTTCCCTAAATTGTGTCCAAATATATCATTTTCGTATTATTTTGAGGCGCTAGACACGATGTCACTGGTAAAACTTACCCATGACCTCGATATTTCTCAGAAAATCCACAATTTGACTGAAAACTGATTTTTTTCTAAATTTTGTTCAAATATATCATTTTCGGAGTATTTTTAAGGGTTGAAAACATGATGCCATTAGTAAAATATACCCATGACCTCGATATTGCTCAGAAAATCCACTATTTGGGTGAAAACTGGCCCAAACATGGGTTAAAACTAATATTTTTTCTAAATTTTGTCCAAATATATCATTTCTGGAGTATTTTTAGGCGCTGAACATGTCACTAGTAAAATGTATTCATAACCTCGATATTTCTCAGAAAATCGACTATTTGGTTGAAAACTGGCCAGAATAGTACGACAAAATACTACGAAAATGATATATTTCGACAAAATTTAAAAAAAAATCAGTTTTAACCCTTATCTGGGCGTTTTCACCCAAAAATTTCACTTTTTTCCGAAATTTGTAATGAAATCATGAATTTTGACTACAGGATCGCGTTCAGTGCATCGAATTCCTTCGAAAATGGTATGTGGCTCTTGGATTTGGACTTTTTTTTATGTGGCTGTGTTATTGAAACTAAATTTATAAAATCAATTCCTTAATGAAATTTTCAAAAAAAAACTTGGCAAGGAATTATTTAATTAAAATTTAATTTTCTTTCAGTGTGGCGGAAATATCTAATGAAATAAAGTAACAAAAAATGGCAGAAATAAAAATAATTACCCACAATAACGTTTTTATTATTTTTCTTTAATTATTATTTATATCTATTTATGTAGTAATAAACGCATATCCTTTAGCGGCAAAAATAATTACAACGGTATTACATTTTAAAACCCTTTAAAACGATATTGGTCAGCAGAGTGACGCTTGTCACACCCATCAACTCCATGCCATTTTTAATTAAACAAGTTCACTGTACGTGGAAATGCAGTACTCATTTGAAATGTATCCCCACAAATAAAATAACTGAACGCTGCTACCAGCTCTTATTATATTTTGCAAATTTCAATATACACTGCATAACGCCTATTCGAGGACCTGTCTCATATATCACGCTGTTTTCATAAAATGCGTGGAGTATTCTACTTCCTGAAAAGCTATGAAGTATTCATTCGCAGGCGACATTTTCATGTAAATATTTTATCTTCATCAGAATTCGCTCGCGCACGTGAGACAGTGGAAGTGGAAAACAAGAAAAGTAAACGGTGGTCGGCCGTGTTTGGAATATTTTATTTATATTTTTGTGTGGGTATATTGCCACGTCCCAGGTAAGTATATATTTTTAGATAAGCATCAATTTCAGATGAGGATGCGACTGAAAATGCCTACTTAAAAGCGAGGGTTTTCTCTTGAATGTCATTGCCAGAAACAATTTTTAAACATAAATTTACCTCCTTCACTTTTTACTATTCTTACTACCGCAGAATACATGCAGCAGTGCAAGTATTGTGGAAATCCTATGTTCTAGCTATATCAAATCTTCTGATCTTCTGGACATATTTTTGGCAGTATCCAAAGCGCGAAACATGAAACGGTATGAAGACTGTCCGAGAAAATTGCAATACTAGTATTTCCCCAAGCTTAAAAAATAAGCAAATTACCCCTTAACTCCCGTTAATTCGGTGCCCTAGTCCGTATCACATTTGCTAATTGCGAACGCTCTGGCGCACCACAGAGCATTCGAACGTTGAAGCGAAACAACTGATTTCCCAAGTCGTCCTGAATTTTCCAATTGGTTTCAAAATCAAAGTAACTGATCCTCATTTTATTAACAAACTTCTATGAACGGATGAATGAGTGTTTTTGTAACCGTACTATCATTTTAAATAGGTAGGTATCATTCTACTCTTTGAGAAACAGTAAGTCACACATTAAGGTATACGTACTAAAAATTGAATAATTAATTGAACATGAATAATAATAATAAATTGAATAATAAAACATAGTGAAAACGTTAACAATATTAAATATACTTAATATTAAATTAAAAACAAACGCTAACCTAACATTTGAAAGCAATTATTATCCTTATACATTTGTTTTTCTTAACTAATAAATAACATTCATTCATGTGTCTAGGTAAAAAGCTCTGTTCATTTGTTGTCGTTCACAGCGGATTAAAAAGGCATTAAAAGCTAGGTTAATGACCGAATGTAGATCAAGATTCACTCTCGTTAAATCTTTGAGGGTCAGCGATCAGGAGCGGCACGAAAAGGGGTTTAAATAATGAATTGAAAATGTTTTATTATGGCGAATAAGCATTTAAAACTTTTTTTAATCGAGTATTCTTATTCTACTCATTTTTTCCTATATTCCTTTAAAATTAATGACATGTATAATAAAACAAAACAGGAAAGAAATACATACCTAAATATACGGAGAAAAAAAAAAGTATGTATATGTTTACGAAATCAGTCAATTCGGGTTAATTGTATTAATAAAAATATTTACTTGTTGTTGCCCGAGGAATTTCTAATATGTACATTTTAATTTTCCTCTTGAATGCATACATTGATATATTATCTACTTTCAAGTAATCAGGTACAGTGTTATATAGTTTAGGTGATATAAAAAATATAGTAGTGATCTTTGGCCCAAAAATTTTTGCATAAAAGGAGATAAAGTATCATTGTTTTATTCTGGTTTCATAGTTATAAGACATTTCGTGCTTATTACCAGTATAATGATACCTACAAACTCAGTTGTAATAAAGTTGTCTTACATCGAAGACTGGTTTTAAGGTACAACTCATTACTAGGGTAAGTAAGTGCAACATTATCTTTAAACATCTTTTTTGTAGAATTGTGAGTGGCTCAATACTAATCGCTGAACCCCAAGACAGTACAGCGCAATTTGTAATATGACTCTGTATTAAAACATGACTAGATGACATCCTACAGAGAGATATTTAAAGGTACCTATATAAAATGGACTAAAGGTTCTTTGTAACATAATTTATCCATCCATCTTAAATGACATTCTATAAAAACACCTAAATATTTTATTTTTGTTGCAGGAAAAATTCTAATTATATGACCGTGGCTTTCTAAATTCAGATAATCAAAAGATGGAGAAACTGACTTAGTGCGTACAAAAGGCAAGTAACTCGTTTTTTCCAGGTTAATTGTCAATAGTTTGTTACTGAACCAATTTTTACATAAGACAAATCATTTTCCACAGTTTCTTTCAGTTCCTCCCTAGTGTTACCTCTATGGAAGATAGCTGTATCGTCTGTAAAACCTATAATTGATTATGATTGAATCACCCTGTATATACAAGTCACCGACTCGACCTATGGGTCTATAATATGGCAATTTTTTTCCAGAATCTTGGGTAAACTCTACTTGATAGTCTAATAAAGCACCAATGCCTTTGATTATTGTATATTTATTGGATACTATCTTGGCTTGCTGATTTTTTCTGTTTTCATTTTTTGTTTAATATTTTCCAACGAATCCCTGCAAATGTTTAGAATATTGCCCTTTGTTTCAGTATCAGCTGTGTACATTACCAAAAGTATAACTAGATGTATCTCCAAACACCGACAGAAAGTATGTTGAGCTTTTACCTTCAACACCATTGAATGTTATACTGTCATTATGGAAGTTAATTTTCGTAATCTGACAGCGCCGTTTCAAGATTTGAATTCCTGTATTCTAAGAGAGGATGTGGTATCAAAACTTGATCCAGATACAACGATGGTTCAAAAAGCAATTTCTTTAGAACATAGCCTTCTTTAAATTGAATACAAGCAGGAATAGCAATGACTACAGAAGAAGCTCTAAGGTGTTTTAAAAACCGGCAAACCTCAAACTCTTTGAATATGTACCTATTACAAAATTATGTTCACTTTTGCAGTTTGTGCATACCATTTCAAAACCTGATACATTTTCTGTTACTTCAATTTTCAGGTGTTCCACTTCCAACTCACAGTAGTATAGTTGTGTTGAAAAAAGTTACATATAATTGTTAATGTGAAATGACTGATTCATTGGCTATGGCAAATCTGCCCGCAGTTGTCATTAGAAGAAATAAAAATTGAAGAAAGGGATGGAAAGCTGTTAGGGGTGGTTGCAATCAGTGTAAAATTTGTAATAATTATTTAGTAATGAGTAAAATATCTCAGTGTAAACAAAGGTACTTCCAAAACGATAACTGTTAGATATTTACGATAATGTTTAAGTTTCGCTTCTGTATGAATTATTTTGTGATACTGTTAAACAGTTTAAGTTCTAAAATTCAGAAAAATCAGAAAGCTTTTGTTTAGGTTTCTCCTTCCAATTATGATTTACCTTGTTTATTTGAAAACCCATCAGATATGTTTAATACACAATTTACAATTTTATTAAAACATTTTAAGCATATTTTTAATAAAATCTTTTTGAATAGAACCTTACCTTACGAACGGATCGCAGCTATTGACTGTACCGACTGTCCTTGAGGGGAGATTCTTGGCTTTCAGCAACGACACAAGCAGCTTTTCGGTAGACGGTTCATAGCGCAAGGAAAACCACAGCCTTCCGATGTGCCCCTCTGGCCATTGGATTTCGTCCAAATCCAATGTACTCTTGTACAATGCCGGTTCTATTACTCCCAAGCCGTAACAACCTGAAAGAAAACGAATAAGCAGTCACATTCCCTGGGGATAAAGTTACAACCGAAATATTTGTGCAGCGGCGCATGATAAAAACTGAAAGTGTTAAACTTTATATCCAGAGGAGTTTATGTTTATTTATACTTGTGAGTGTAATAAGCATTCTGTCTAAAAAGGGTTAGGTATAAATAATATAATATATAATATAAATAATAAATAGTAATTTAATTTTTATTTGGGATTCACATTACCAATAGTTTTATTACACGATGATACTATCACAAAATGACCAGGGTCGACGTTCAATCGCATCTCCCGATGCTCCGACAAACTAATATGGATTTTCAGACGTCATCTTTAAATGAAGAATTTCTGTCTTTTTTGCGGCATAGGTATATCATGAGAGTACTTTGATGATAGTAAATGACCAGCGAATGGGTGAGTGATATATTCACTTTTGGTAAAACTGGTACATTTGGTTTGCGAATCTTTTGATAGCAGACTCCTTAAGTTAACTGTAATAAGATCTTGTAGTTCCTTAAATTTCTTAATCGGGTTCTTTTTGATCTTCGTATACACTAGAACCTAAATGGGTTCCATCAACCAACAAGTCCGACCAGTAATGAGTTGGTTCAGCCACTAGTTCCATATATGTCACATAACATACGGATCTAATTTTAAAGACATCATATGTTCTAGGGAGGAAATTTTCCTGAACTCAAATGATATTCTAGGAGTTTTTACGTGACATAATCGTTAACAAATCGTGTCAGTTAAAGAAGAAAAAAAATGAGGATTTAGGAGATCTGGCAAAAATGTATCCCGGATGTGACTTTCTTTTACTTGAAGATCAGTTTTTTGAACAATAGAAGAAACAGCTGAAGGTTCACCCGCCTTCACAGACCTGACAAATATCTACATGCAAATCCTTGAGAAGAAGGCCCTGGAATCATCAACTCTAGAACCAAAATCTGGTTGATTCAGATAGACAATACATTTATGATATGACCCTATGGACATAACAATGTCTGGACCATATTAATGACATATCTTCGGACATCAGATGTAAACAGGCCTCGGTATCCCTTGTACGTGCCTGAAAGAATACATGGACAAACAGAGATAAATGTTAGCACTAGGTTAAAGAAACACGCATGTGTCACTAAGATTACCTAGGTAATAACAACGAAGTTATATCAGTAGTTACCAAGCACAGGGCAGACAGCCAAAACTCTACTAACAATAAAATATAAAATACGTGATAGGCCAGTGACTCCAATTTTCTTCTGGAGAAGAGAGCGATATATTTTTGGAAAGAAATTTAAATTCACAGCGTGACAATCATCCTGTAAATTGTTTAACCATTGACAGCTGCTACGGAATAATGTTCAAGGTATTACAATTAATGAACAAACATAAAAAAAAAACTGTTGAAGAGTTATTGAAATTTAATACATAGTTTCCGTTTTTGATTTTCTAGAAAATTAGGTATCTAGAGGCCATAGATTTTTTGTATACAGTAATTTCCTTTTCCACTTTTTTTATTCAAGTTACATTACAAAAATTGCTCACAATTATGACAGAGCACTCGATATTTTACAAATTTTACATGCGTTGTAATGCATGTTGTTTGATGCACAGTTTATAACATAAATGGTGAAGTTATTTAAGAAAAAAAAATAGTAACATTTAGAGTAAAGGCAATTGGCTGTAATAATAAGAATAATAAAACGACCTATTATTTTTTATAATCCTAATAGTGGAAACAAATTATTTGTAAAGTTTTCATTCTTGCTTATTGTTAATGATTTTACCAAATACCTCTCTACTTGAAAAATAAAATAAAAGGGTAATTGTATTACATTAATATAATCCCTCCAATAGTGAAGGAGGATTCTTTCATTTTTAAGTAATTATCGATTGAAAATTATTGCCTAGCTGCCAATAATTATATTATAGTTTCTTATAGAATTCTAATTCTCCTATAATTCTAAGATCCATTTTTGAAAAACCTATGATAGTTATACATTCTTTAATTGAATTTATTATTATTATTATTATTACATAATAGCAAGGACAGAGGCAAAGCCTATTTAGTCCAATAAAATATACAAAATGACAGTTAACAGCTTTTAGAGTAACAGTAAAATAAATAGCTAACATAAAAGAAAAAGAACAAATAAGTATGTGAACAGAATACCAAAATAACAATATAAATCACAGCTAACTAGCGAAACAGGCCATAAACCGCACACGAAAATACACTAGGCGCGCACTCAATGTAAAAATTCTGATGACATCCATACATCCAACCTGTTCTTGAAAGAGTTGACCGATGGGGCAGTAACAACAGATGAAGGTAGGCTATTCCAATGGTAGAACACTCTATTTGGGAAGAAATTTTGACGCAAAGACGTTTTGAAGTTTTCTCTCGATAATTTAAACTGATGACCACGTAAACGCTCATCCAAATTTAACCTAAATAGGTCTCCAAAAGTTAAACTGTATTGATTATTTATAATCTTATACATTTGGATAAGATCACCACGAAGACGTCTCACATTAGTACAAGTAATTCTCAAATTATCCAAACGGTGATGATATGGAAGAGATCTAAATTTGGGGATCCATTTTGTGAATCTTCTCTGCACGCTCTCTATCAGATTAATATCTTTTATCAGGTAAGGGGACCATATGTTCACGCAGTATTCCAGATGCGGACGAATATATGTTTATATAATTTTAAGAATACCTGATCGTTTGAACTCTCGAAACACTTGTTTAAAATATAAGACACTGAGTTGGCTTTTTTCACAACGGTGGAAATATGTTCAGACCAAGTGAGACTGGAATTGATTACTACACCCAAATCATTCTGGTTTTCGACAGTTGTTATAAGTTGACCTTGACCGAAAGTGTATGTTGCCTTGGGATTATTTTTACCAATATGTATAACAGTACACTTATTTAGATTCAAAGGGATGAGCCAATCATAGCACCAGTGCTCGATGGAATTAATATCATCTTGTAGAGTTTGATGATCTTGTAGTGCATTTCCAAATATCTTAGTATCATCGGCATACAGTGCATGCTGCGATTTGAGCTGTAGCGAGAGATCAGCTGTATATACCAAAAATAGGACTGGTCCAAGAACAGAGCCTTGCGGTACCCCTGAAAGAGCTGCTTGAGATTCTGAATGCGATTTGCCAACTCGTACTGAAAACGTTCGATTTGTGAGGAAACTATTTATCCAGGCAAGTAATGGGCCTCGTATACCATTATGTTCCAATTTATACAATAGCCTGTTTTTCGGGACTGTATCAAACGCCTTGGCAAAATCAAAATACAGAACGTCGACTGGAAATCCCTTGTCTAGCCATAGTGTCCACGAGTTCACAGACGATAAAAGGTTCCGTTGGGCCGTTGCAGAGATCTTTAATATATTTGCCGGTATCTCATCTGGACCTGGAGAGGAGTTAGTACGGAGCCGATTTAGATGTTTTAATACCACCTCTTCAGAAATAAAGATATTTTCTAAAGAATTTTCAACACGTGGATTTGGTAAAGCAGGAATGGGTCCAAAAGGTTCAACACAAAATACTGACTGGAACATGTTCGAGAGCACTTCAGCAGCTTCTAGATCACTAACAGAGATAGATCCATCGGATTTTTTGACCATATGAGTTTTGACAGCAGTCTGAAGTTGACTTCTAGTATATTTATATAATGCTTTTGGACCTTTCTTCACAAGGTTATTCTCAAAATTTTGCCTAGCAACTCGAATGTCATGGGTTAATTTATTTGAGAATTCACGATGAGTGAGAAAGTCCTCTACAAGACCAGTACGTTTGTATCTACGCCAAAGTCCATGTTTCGCCTTGGCTCTAACTATAAGATCACCACTAATATATGGCTTCTGAGAATTTGAAACTTTGCGAATAATAGTACTGCAATTACTCATAGCATCAGAAATAGCTTCATGAAAAATATTCCACATCTCTTCAACGTTATTTGAAGAAAAAATGTCCTCCCAAGATAAGCTATTTAGTTGGGATTGAAGATCGTCATAATTGATTCTCGTAATAATAATAATATTTCGGCCAGTGTTATGTTCAAAGACTTGAATTTCAAAAGTTATAACAACATGATCGGAACAGCCAATTGGAGGGTACAATTCAAGATTTGCTATAATGTTATCATCGTTTGTTAATAGAAGATCAAGTAAGGAGGGTTCTTGATTTTGCCGATATCGAGTAGGTTCTCAAATGAGTTGATCAAGATTAGAGTTCAAAAACATATTGACAAACATAGATGGAGCATTTATCATGTTGTCAGCACCCGCCAAGGCGTTCCAGTTAATAGTTGGAAGATTACAGTCACCAACAATAACAAGGTTCTTATACCTGGTACTAGATTCCTGAATAAAGTCAAATAGTTGTTGGTCATAAGCATTATATGACGGAGGTCGATACACAACCGCCAGAGTAAAACAAAACAATTTGCTAATTAATTGGAGCCAAAGAGTTTCAACACCAGGTATAATACCATTCAAATTAATAATATGATATTTTTTGTAAACCAATGAAACTTGAATTATATATTTACAAATCAATATAAAAAATAAAAGAGGTTCTTTATAATAAATAATAGGGGTAGTTTGAGTAAAGAGGACATGCATTACCTTTAGATTCTCGTAATAGATGTTAATAATGCTGAAAACTATTAGGTATACCTATATATTTTTTTTGGGGAAAAATTAGTTATATAAATACTCGATAAATACTATTTATATGATAACATCACTTTTTAATGGAATATAATATTTATATGGCTACCTTTGAAAGTTTTCTTTTTTGCAATTTCAAGTAAAGGTTGCATGAATTTATTTATCTCGAAATTGAATTTTTACCGAGAGCATGCTTTTAAAAAATTGCCGCGTATTTTAGACACACCTCATATAAGATGGATAAAGCAAAATTTATTTCATTTTTGGATTTTCAGTAATAAAGAAACA